TCAACAACAAGCTACAATAGCAGCTCTGTGTCACCTCAAAGATAAGCACTGTTAAGGCATTTTGATGTCAAAGTTTACTACAGTAGAATTCGACATAGAGACATGGATGGATTTACTAACCCCTGCAAGTGATTCCATCTGATTTTCAACACTAAGCTTTATATGTTTCTGTGACCTTTACTCCAACAATCCCTCCCATTCAGATTTGTTTGTATATTAACCAAAAGGCCTAAATTCAATGATTTGCTTCAACGAAAATAGAGAATCTAGTGTTTGTGACCAGTCAGGGGTGTGGGTTTGTTTCACACCCTTTCATGTAAACTGCGTCATGGCAACATTTTTTGTTTTCCGGGAACCAGAATTCTGATTTTTTTTAATCTAAAATCTAGATTTGAAACTTTTGAATTACACTTGCTCTATATTTATTTTTAGCATGAACGCACCATTGCTTCAGCCCCAGTACTTTATGAGCCATCCAGCTTTACGCTGACCTCCCATATTCTCCTTTATTGGAGCCATAGCTTAGACGTGCACCAGTCGATATGCTTTAGTTTGCTGTTTTTGTTAAAAGCTTGACTGAAAACTGCTAATTTACATATTTTATGAAAGTGAGTTAGTCACACACGCCCACAGGGATCTTCAGACTCCTCACATCGGCGCTCTAGAACATTAGGAACGCATGGTCGGGTGGCCTGGAAGTTACTGAATGCTTTTCTTTCATTCCTGCGGCAGCGAGCTTGAACTGGAGATGTGGGAGGAGGAGGAGGAGTGAACTCTCACTCGGCCCTTTGCTGTCTCTCCTGTACTGTGATGAATGGAGCTGTGATGGTTAGTGGCCTTGAAGTTATACTGGTCTGCTGATAGGACAGTTGTTGGAGCCGAGTGTGTCACCGTCACAGTTGTTATCTTTAAAATAAGATGACATCCATGTCCATCTGATGTCAGAGCTAACTGTGGTTCACCATTAAAAGCACCGCAAGCGTATTAATCAATCTTTCTTTAAATCAGAGCTCAGTAATCGGAGCACTCGCTGGCTGGTGTGTAGGGCAGAGTTGGCTCAATGGACGAGAAAACCTGAAATGAACTGAAATTGAAAGAAGCAGCAAGGTGATATTTTGCTTCGGGGTCCATTTCACATTCTCATAATCCAATTATTCGGTGAAACCGGTGGTTTAAATGTGTTTTAGTAACCCAATAAGTAGCTAATTTGCAAAGAAAAGCCTTGCATGTTGGGTACCCTCAGAAGAAGGTGGTTCGTTTAAATGCAGGTTTTGCACACTGTGGGTTAGCTTGGTAATATTGTAAGAGTTTGATAATAAGGAGGTGATTTCTATCATGTAAGCAACAACCAGGTAATGGTCACGAGTATTGTGTACTTGGGGCTGAAAAGCCTAACAGTTGGAAAACATTTAACGAGCCTTTTTCTGCTCATTTACCCCCATATTTCTTCTTCAACTCTGCTGGAATAGATTTGCATGGTTCACATTTCAAAATCCTCACCTGCCTTAAAGTGGGCCTTGCTGCTGCCTTTAGTTCATCCCCTTCCAGATCCCTCAGGTCATCTGGATCCGGGTCTTTTATCAGTTCCCAGAGTAGGAATCAGACACGGAGAAGCTGCATTCAGCTTTTATGCTCCTTATATCTGGAACAAACTCCCAG